GCATTTGGGCAGTGGGGCGGGTCAGTGCGTCGGCGATATTCGAGGCTCCTTTTTTATATGTGACCGTATAGTGGAAATTCGATTCGAGGAAGTCGAGCCACCGAATCTGTCGTGGGTTGAGGTGGGGCTGTGCGCGAAGGTACTGTAGGGATCGATGGTCTGTCCGTACTGTCACGTCTGCGCCGGTCAAGTAGCAACGCCACACTTTGAATGCATGCACGATCGCGAGCATTTCGCGGTCGTGTATTGGGTAATTTCGCTCAGGTGGATGTAGCTTGCGTGATTCGTAGGCGATGGGTTGGAGGCCGTTGCCGAAGTCCTGTAACAGTACGGCTCCGATGGCGATGTCACTCGCGTCTGTAACAACTTCGAAGGGGCGGTGTGGGTCAGCGATGCGTAGGACGGGTGGTGAACAGAGAACATTTTTCAGGGCAGAGAAGGCAGCATGCTCTTTCTCCCCCCACGTAAAAGGGACCCCCTTATGCAGTAAATCAGTGAGCGGGGCTGTTAAGCGTGCCATGTCGGGGACGAACCGACGAACGTAATTAACAAACCCTAAAAAACTCTGTAGTTCCGTGATGTTCGTCGGGGGATGCCACGCTTTTACGGTATCCAGCTTCTTAGGGTCTATCTCAACCCCAGCCTCCGAAATGACGTGACCTAAAAACTCTAGCCTGTCCCGAAAAAACTCGCACTTGGAGCCCTTGGTGAGTAACCGATGTGCCTCTAAAATTTTAAAAACTCCTTGGAGATCTACTAAGTGCTGCTGCTGGTCCCGACTGTAAACGAGGATGTCGTCGAGGTAAACTATGACGCATTTATCTAAAAGTGGCCTAAACGCCTTGTTCATGGTCATCTGAAATGTTGCAGGCGCATTGGTCAGCTCGAAAGGCATCACTGTATACTCGAATGACCCGTACCTAGTCCTAAATGCTGTCTTGGCGCAGTCCGATGGTTCGACCCGAATTTGATGGTAACCTCCCCGTAAGTCTATTTTCGAAAATACTCGTGCGGTTCGCAGCTGGTCGATCTGTTCGTCGGCGCGGGGGATGGGGTATCGTGATTTTACTGTTACCCTGTTAAGCGCTCGGTAGTCGATGCACATGCGAAACCCCCCGTCTTTTTTCGGTGTGAACAGTATCGGTGCGGCGAACGGTGACGAGCTCGGTCGGAAAAACTGCTTCTCTAACAGGTAATCTAACTGCTTCCTTAGCTCGTCGAGCTCGGGCTGTGCCAGTCGAAACTGGCGTTGTACAGTTGGCTGTGCCCCCGGTTCTAACTCGATCCTATGGTCGTGCGCCCGCTGAGGTGGCAGCCCTTGCGGTAAGTCATCCGGAAAGATACCCGGGAACCGTTTCAGTAGTGCCTGTAGTTCGTGTGGTACGGCTGCCAACAGTTTCTGCAAATCACTCGGCCGGTCCTCTTTTTCCACTAATGCGATATCCACTGCGTACACGTCAGCTCCAGCAGCGACAGCCCGTTTCATCGTGATGGCGTTGACCTGGACCGTCGAAGACTCGGGTGGCTGCCAGCGAGGTAGGACGACCCCGTTACCACTACTTCGCACTGTGCAGCTACCCTTCGTCCAGTCTATTCGTGGGTTATACCGTCGCAGCCAATCACGTCCCAATAAAATGTCGTGCCCATCCAGTGTCGTTGCGAGCATTTCCTGTGTAAACCCGAAGTTCCCTCCGCAGCGGACCTTTACTCTCTCCACCTTTTCCCGTATAGCCAGTGGCGTGCCGTCGACTAAGCGTGCATCTATCTCAGGTAAGCATCGGTTAAGTGTTAACTGTAATTTCCGTGCGGTTGCGGTATAAACTAAGCTGTGACTTGCTCATTCGTCAATAAAAATCTTCACTGCTGCTCCCTGTATTTTCCCGTAGATTAGTACCGGGCAATCCGTCGCTGCACCCTCCTTATTCATCCGAGCCCGATCGATGGCATGAATCGGTACTGTGACTCGGTGAGGGTCAGTGTGGTTGGGCGAGCAGGCAGTCTCGTCAGTAGTTGGCCCAACTTCTACTGACTGCTGGCGTTTCCCTTCCTCTGAGACTCCCTCCCCTACTCTGCTCCTCGGCGCCTCAGCTCCTCTGGGCATTCGCTCTTGCGATGGCCCGGCCTGTTGCAAGCAAAGCAGCGCCCCTTAAACGGTGCGGCAGCTGCATTCGTTGCGACGGCGTGTACAGTGGCGTGCTCGGTCGGTCCCCGAGGACGATGTCCGTAATAGGACCCCGGTCTCGGTCGGCGTAGAATGTCGATCTTCTCGGCGAGCGCGAGAATCTCGTTGAAGTTAGAGAGTCCGCGCAGCATTATCTCGTGCGAGATGTCCGGCTTCAGCCCTCCGACGTAACGGTCCACCCGCTCCGCTTCGTGCATGTAGCCGACCTGCTCGCAAAGTGCGAGAAAACCGCTGGTATAGTCTTGAACTGACCCGAGCTGGCGCCAAGTGCGCAGTTTCTGACGCGCCGAAAGTGAAGCCGCGATCGGCTCAAAACGCGCCCGAAGTCCTGCGCACCACGCATCCCACGTGCTGTATTGGGCGGTCTCGCAGAACGAACTCCAGGTGACAGCTGGACCCGAGGGCCCTTCCTCGTGCGACGGTGGCTCGTAGGCGCGTGGCGACGTCACGATGACTCGCCACCAGTCCATGGCGGGGCCTCTTAGCAGTGAAACCGCATACCGGATCTTTGCGGCGTCCGACTCGACGTAATTGGCGTCGAAGAAAACGTTCATCGTGAAGACCCACGATTGAACTGTCGGACCGCCGCGTTGACTTGGGTTGAAGCAGGGCGGGCGTTGCGGCTTGAGCGGCATTGGTGCCATGTTGGGTTGTTCGCCACTTGTCGCCGCAAATTCCACGTGCCGACGGACTTCTCGAGGCTCCCGTGGGCTTGGTGCGATCCTGTTTCCTCCCATGCCAGGCATCGGCTGGGCGGCGCCCTCACTGGCTGCGCCTGAGCGTTGTCCCGTGCTGTCGTGTTGTGTTGGTGTGCCGGACGAGATGATGATCGGCTCATCTGAACGTGCAGATGCGTTTGTTGGTGCGAGGGATGTCGTCGGTACGTTCATCGTGGATTGTTGACGGGCGGAGTCACGTTCCGCCGTGAGGGTCGCGATTTCAAGCGCCGAATCCTCCAGTTGACGCACGAGACGATCAAGTTGCTCCTGCGTCAATGTGGTGAGCGTGAAATCGGCCATGGCGGGGGTGTCGGGCAAGCTCAGCGAGAGCCTCGGTCGTGGCCGTGCGTGCTTGCGAGAGAGCACTACGAGCGGCGGTGCTGTATCGGTGAGAGACGTCTACCCCCCCCAAAAATTGAGATAGTGGGGAAGTGAAGGTGTGGATGCGGTCCGAGATGGGATCGTAGGCTCTGAATACCAAGTGTTACGAGTGCAATTGAGTGAACGAGCGAGAATTTGCACTATCGAAGCAAGAGTACAATGAGCGAAGGTATGAGCGAAGAATATATAGCGAAACTACAGTGGTAACGGTAATGGTCGCGCGACGAGCCTGGGACTGAGGTTGGGAACGTGTCGAAGCGTAGGCCCGGAGCGCGGGTTACCAGCCGAGTTGTGAGGTCGGGATGCGATGTGCGAAAATGGCGGGATGATGAATGATGCGATGGTTGTGAGTGGTAACGGTGCTGACTGAGGTGCTACAGTGATGTACGCGTTGAGCAGAGGTGCGAAGTAAGGAAAAGGGAATTTCCTTACAGTGATGATTCAATGACTGAAGAAATTGTGTAGTGTAAATTCACTGGAAGAGCAAACATTTTTTCAGAATAATGGCGTCAACTTCAAAACACTCCTCAATAGACATACAACGTTAAAGAATGGGCAAATCACCAGCATCATAGCTAGCCAGAGTTATGCATGACAATCACACATTGGTAATATTGAAATCTTACCCACACACTACATCATAAAATCAGTGTACTGCCTGTGCAAGTCAGTTGCCTGTCCATATACTTACATCATCCCTTACTGGAACATCTGCTGTCCTGTTGCCTTCCTCCTGCGAACACATCACTACGTTCTGCTAATGGCGGACCATTTGTCTCCGCCATGGTCGCACGTGTGTCACGTCCTCCAATCACTCGAGCAGCGTCGCGCGAACTGTGTCGTCACCGTCGACGACGACAGCGGTGCGACGCTAACCGGGTCGCAGTTGGTCGCAGACGTCGCATGCCTGGCCAGAGGGCTGGAGACTTTCTGCGGCGTCGCGCCGGGGGAGCGCGTGTGCATCGCAGCGCTCAATAGGTACATAGGATAGCATAGCACGGCATAGCATACTTAACGGCAACGTATCTTTCCGTCGTAGGTGGTTCGTGAGACAATTCGCGAACTATTCATGCGGCTAGCTGGAAGCATTCCTTGCATTGGGATACGCTTTGCTGCATCATACGGCCAGCTTCCGGTCGAGTGGGATGCGTTTTTTGCAATGATCAATGATGGGAGCTTTCTCGATCAATGCTGCTGAACTGACGGCGATTAGCATGCGCGAATAGTCACGACTACTAGTACCGAATGTGCTATTATCGGGCGCACGACCCTTTCCATGCACGACTGTGCTCACAGCTCTAATATCGAATGTGCCAATAACGATCCAGAACCCTCTCTCTCACCATCCCTCGCATCACACCCATGCAGCTCGGCGTACGTGCAGTGGCTACTCGCAGTGCCAGCTGTGGGCGCCATTCTTGCGCCTCTCAACCACCGATGGGTCAGTGTCGTGTCACTCCCTCTCACTGTCACTCCCTCTCACTGTCACTCCCTCTCACTGTCACTCCCTCTCAGTGTCACTCCCTCTCACTGTCACTCCCTCTCACTGTCACTCCCTCTCACTGTCACTCCCTCTCACTGTCACTCCCTCTCACTGTCACTCCCTCTCACTGTCACTCCCTCCCTCCGCTCAGCTCGCACCACTTCCCCCCGCTTGCACCACACAACACTGACACATACTCACGAGTCATTTCCTAGTCAAATCACACCATTCCTCTATGCAACCCTCTTCGATCTCCCCCTTTCCTTCTTTCCGCAACGGCTGCACAGAGCATGGGAGAGGCAGCAGCGGCGGTGCAGCAGGTGGGGCGGACTGTCCTGGTGGTGGATGCACACATGCTGCCCTGGTGGGACCACCTCATGCCACCCCTTTCTCATCACCCCCTTTCCCCTTCCCCACCTCCCCCTCTCATCCCCTTCCCTCGTCTTTCAAACCACGTGAGCAGAGCATTGGAGAAGCGGCTGCAGCGGTGCAGCAGGTGCGGGCCACGGTGCTGGTGGTGGATGCACACATGCTGCCCTGGTGGGCCCACCTCAAGCCGCTCTGCCCCTCGCTGCGACTGGGGGTTCTTATCTCTGAGGGGCCCACTGCTACCACTCCCTCCTCTGCCTCCTCCTCCTGTAAGTTCACCTCAAGGTCAGTGGCTTACCACCAGGGATGCTGCTGCTTGTGGTGCTGGCGGTGGATGCACACATGCTGCCCTGGTGGGCTCACCTCAAGCCGCTCTGCCCCTCACTACGACTGGGGGTGGTCATCTCGGACCAACCCATTCCCTTTTCCGCCACATCTCCTTGTGAGTTCATCTCACGGCTGCTTGCTTGCTTGCCTCCTCTCCCTCCTCTCCCTTCCCTATCTCCTCTCCTCCTCTGCCCCCTCTGCCTCCTCCTTACTTGGGCATCCCTGGGCTTTCCTGTGTTTTATTTGAAATCACGGATTCTGAGCAGCGCGCTTTCAACGCTTCCTGCGCAACCCATCACGTCCTGCCCCACACACGCATCCCCATGCACATCGCACATGCCCATTACCACCACCAGCAGCGCTGCTCTCAATGGATGAAGTTCTTCGAGTGGGCAAAAGGGCAATCACGGATGCTGGGCAACGCGCTTTCAACTCTTCCTGCCCATCCCACCCAACCCACCACACAAATTCCTCACCCTCCCATCCTCCTCGCTCGCTTGCCTGCTCCTCTCCCCCTCCCTCCTCCTCCTCCTTCCTCCACCACATACCCCTCCGCTTCGCCCCTCACCGCATTGCACTCCTCTGTTTCACCTCGGGCACCACCGGCACCCCCAAGGCAGCTGCTCTCTCCCACACGGCGCTCATCTTGCAGTCCCTGGCCAAGCTAGCATGTGCGGGGTACCGCCATGACGATGTGAGTCACGTCACTCTTTTGAAATGTAGGTCACACAATACCGGCACCCCCAAGGCAGCTGCTCTCTCCCACACGGCGCTCATCTCGCAGTCCCTGGCCAAGCTGGCGCGTGCCGCATATCGGCACGATGATGTGAGTGGGGTGTGTGTGACATGGCGATGTGAGTCACATGGGGATAGGGTGTGCATGAGCAGGTGAGACTCAAAGGCAGCTGCTCTCTCCCACACGGCGCTCATCTCGCAGTCCCTTGCCAAGCTGGCATGTGCGGGGTACTGCCATGACGATGTGAGTGGGGTGTGTGGGACATGGCGATGTGAGTCATTCTTGGAGGATTGGGTGGGGATCACATGGGGATGGGATGATGGGTGACCCAAGGATGTCTGTCTGTAACATGGCCATGCCAGAAGATTTTGGGGGCATGGATTCTGCTTCGATTTTTTTTTTTTTTTTTTTTTTTTTTGAAACACTCGGAAACTTCTCTCTCAGAGAGAGCCCCCATCCCTACGCGAGCTCTGCTCTGCTCTCTCTTCCTGCACGTGATCCCTCTCTGCCATACATGCGACATTTCCTCGCTCCTCGCTATCCCCCCTCTTCTCCCCTCACAACCTCGTCCACAACCTCCCCCATCATCTTTCTCCCGCTGTTCCCTCCCACCTGCAGGCCTTCCTGCACGTGGCGCCTCTGTGCCACATAGGAGGCATCTCCTCGCTCCTCGCCATGCTCACAGCGTGTGCTCGCAACGTCCTCGTGCCGCGCTTCCTCCCCTCCCACCTCCCCCGCCTCCTCTCCCGCCATCGCATCACGGCCCTTATTGCCGTCCCTGCAATGCTCACTGATCTACTGAATGCGTGCAGTGGCGAGAAAAGTGAGTGATCAGGCCTTGTTGGGCTAAGGCATGCATGCATCCCCCCTCTCCCCGCCCACCTCCCTCTCCTCCTCTCCTTCCACTGCATCACAGCCTTCATCGCTGTCCCTGCCATGCTCACTGACCTACTGAGTGCATGCAGCAGCAAACAACCGGGGGAACAAGGTGAGTGATCCTACTGAATGCGTGCAGCGGCGAGCAAAGTGAGTGATTGGGCCGTGTCTGGGCTAAGCCGTGCATGCATCCCCCCTCTCCCCGCCCACCTCCCTCTCCTCCTCTCCTTCCACTGCATCACAGCCTTCATCGCAGTCCCTGCCATGCTCACTGACCTACTGAGTGCATGCAGCAGCAAACAACGAGAACCAAGTGAGTTACAGTTATCCTGCTTCTGGCCAAGCTACAGCATGACTTTCGTTCAGCCCTTGGCCCCCCTGTCCTCCTGCCTTGTGGCCCTCCAGCACCCACCAGCACCCACCATCACCCCATTCTATCACATGTGCGCATGTTGGCTCTGAGCTCACTCTTCTTCTCTCGTCTCTCCCATCCATCCCCCCATCCCTGCACGCTGCCGTGCAGGCACTTCCTTCCCGCTCGTGAGAACGCTGCTGGTGGGGGGAGGCGCATTGAGCCCATCGCTGCAGCGGCACACAGAGGCTCTCTTCCCATGCGCGCGCCTCATGCTCGCCTATGGTACCTCCCTGTTACCGCCTCCCTTGCACGCTCCCAACTCATTCTCCTCTGTATCCGCGCCCCACTCAGGCATGAGGGGAATTAGGCATGAGCCACTGCAGCGACACACAGAGGCACTCTTCCCCTGCTCGCTTATGGTACCTCCTTTTTATCGCCTACCATCCTCTAATGTTTCTTAGAAGGAGCGCCGCCAATTCAGATCCTGCATGCCTTCCCTTTCCCCAAACCTCCTTTTCCACCCCCCAGGTATGACAGAAGCAGCTTCCTCCATCACATTCGCCATGCTGCGGGACCCTGCAGGGGCAGAGACGGCTGGGGCACAGGCTAGTGCGAGGCCAGAGGGGCAAGCGCAAGCAGCGCCCTTTGACTCTACCGCAGTGCCATCGTCTCCAGCGCCAGCAGCAGCAGCAGTGCTATCACTACCATCATCAGCACCAACAGCATCAGCGTCAGCCTGTTGTGTGGGCTTCCCTGCTCCCCACGTTCAAGTCTGCATTGCGCCCCTCCCTCCAGATGACACTCACCCTCCTCCTCCTCCCCGGCTCGACCCTCACTCAACCCTACCCCATCAACACTCGCACTCCCCCCTCAATCACCCCGCACTTCAATCCAGCCAGCCCTCAGCTCACAAGTCTTGTCCTGTAGTGGGGGAGGTGCTAACCCGCGGCCCGCACGTGATGAGTGGCTACTGGGGCAGGCCAGACGAAACCGCCGCAGTGCTCTCCCCAGAGGGCTGGTTGCGCACGGGAGACATGGGCTGGATCGACTTTTCCGGGCAGCTTTGGCTGCTGGGCAGGCGAAAAGAAATGATGAAGTCGGGCGGGGAGAATGTGTTCTGCGCAGAGGTGGAGGAGGCAGTGAGAGCACACCCGGGAGTGGCGGCAGCAGCAGCGGCAGGGGTGCCAGATGAGCGCATGGGGGAGGCGGTTGCTGTGCTGCTGGTGCTGAAACCGGGATGGGTGTGGTCGGGAGTCGGCAGTAATGACAGTGGTGGTGGTGATGCTGGCGGTGCTGGCGGTGCTAGTGATGTCGGCAGGTTTGGTAGTGGTGGTGGCAGTGCAGCAAGGGCAGCTGCTGCTAAGAACGTGTCGTTGAGTGACTTGCATGCTGCCTGCCAGCAGCACGGCCTTTCCAGGTATGTGAAATGTTGGCTTATCTTTGGATCATAAACTTGGCTGTTCCGTGCTCCCATTCGCCATCCCAAGGCACATTCACATCATAATCTTGTGCTCACATCTTTACCAGGTACTTTGTCTCCCTCAATAGACTTTGTGCCTCTTGTTTCCTTTGCTTGCAGGTACAAGCTCCCTCGAATGGTGGTGGCTTTGCCAAAAGGACAGTCATTGCCTGTGACAGCTTTGGGAAAGGTGAAGCGAGCGCAAGTTAGAGACATTATTATTAATGACATGGAAAGAAGTGTGCCAAGGATAAAAGCTAGATTGTGAAAATGGAAAGTTGGCATGTGCAAACTATCTATTTACGCAGTCCTTTTGCGTAGCTTTTGCTGTTTAGTGGTACTTGCATGGTCCTCGGTACAAGTTTCATCTGAGATACGTGGTGTTGCTATGGCCCGCATTTTTACTCATATTCTTAGCCATTGACTCTTTTGCTGTAGGTGAGTCGTGACACGTCAGTACCTCACTCCCCGACTCACACCCGAACGCGTGGTGGGATCTCAGCCACTCTCAATTCTGAGTCGCACAAACCGTCGCATGGCGGCCAGCTACCAACCAGATAATTGAGGTGCGAGTTGTCGTCCGTTGCCATGCGATGTCGCAGAAGGATGGCGGCGTAGACTGCGAATCCAAAATAGAAGTTGGGGGGATTGAGTTGGGTTGGTTGAGGTTGGGAGAGAAGGGGAACAAACCACTCCCAACAGCGTTCCATAGTTGGGCCACCTAAGCTGGAATTTTCGTTTTCTAAGCATCCTTTTTATCGATTCTGCCTTTCTTCTAACCACATAGCAGACCGCCACGCTGCTTGCATCTCTCGTTCCGCTCTGGCGACCTGTCGGCGACAGCCATACTTCCTCCTTCGCCTTAGCACTCGTGCGCTCACCCTTCTCTAGTGTTGCCCTCGCACCAGCGTCGTCCCGTCGCGTCGTTGAAGCTCGATTGGTATTTATAGAATATCAACTATTTACTCCACCTGACCTGCTTTCTCTTCTGGGATTCTCTTTCCTCCATCCCGCCGTTCCGCTCATTTCGCGCGTTTCGCTCGTTTCATTCGCACCCACATGGCGTCGTCGTTTGCTCTAGCGGGAGTTGATGCTTCGTCACTAGCTGCTTCGCGATTCTGTTCGCGTCCCCTTCGCGTCGCTTCAGGTGAGCTCAGAATCTCCTCACCATTTCCCCGCATCCGCACCTTTCCCCCCTTTTACTCTCCCTCCTCCTTCCCATCCCCCAACTCTCTTGTTTCTTATTCCCCCGTCCTCACTTCCTCCTCGTTTCGTGAGCAACGTCTCGCAAATTCACTCTAGTGCGGGTGTGCCTGTATCGAATGTGATGCGCAGGTGAATTTAGACTCGGAATAAGCCCGAGGCAGCACAACCAGAGACAGCAGCAACAGCAGCGGAGGTTGGTGGGCGTGTTCACAGTGCGGTCGAGTGCGGTAGAGAACGCGGCAGCTGAGACCAATGTGACGGACGAAGGGAAGCAGGTGAGAATCGGGGCAGGTGAGGGGTGGGGCAGGTGAGAGGAGGGGCGGGCGGGAGATGGGGTCGGTTAGGGGCGGGCCACAAGCTCATTGTAGAAAAAAAAACAAATAACAAAAAAACCATACACGTGCACTGCCACGTCACTTCCCATCAACCTCTCCTCACACCAACCCTCGTTTTCCGCCGCTCCCCTCCTTTCCCCCGCCCTCTCCCCCCAGCTGCAGCAGCGGAAGGCGGAGTGGGCGCGGGTGCGGGGGGTGGCGGAGAGGGGCGCAGTGGTGCGCGGGCGAGTGGTCTCCGCCAACGCGGGGGGGCTCATGGTGCGCCTGGGCCCGCTGCAGGCGTTCCTGCCGCTCTCCCAGCTCGACCCCTCGCGTCTCAGAGGGACAGGTGAGTGAGTTCGAAGAACTCTTGAGCCCACAGGAGTAGTAGTGGAGGGGGGAGGAAGGGATGGGGGGACTGACTGTGCGCCTGGGCCTGCAGCAGGTCTTCCTTCCGCACTCCCAGCGCGATCCTTCGCGCCTAAAAAGGCTCGGGTGAGTGGTTGTGATGCATTCACACGGGTATCGTATCGAGTGGCGAAACGGGGAGCGGAGAACACTCGAAGTGGAACATTTGAGGCAGAAAAATTATTAAGTGAAGGGCTCTCAACCCGTTCCTTCCTTCCCTCCCTCTTCCCCCGTCCACACCTCCTCTTCTCCCCAGCAGCAGCGTCACCGGCGCCCAATGTAGCAGATGTAACCCGCGGTCTAGTAGGCAGCATGGTGGTAGTAAGATTCCTGGAGTAAGAATCTAGTAGGCCCGCACACGCCTAGTGGTGTCGGAGAAGCGGGCAGCAGCAGGCAAGGGGCTGCCGCGCGTGCAGCAGGGGCGCGTGTACCCGGGCGTCGTCTCCTCGCTCACAGACGAGGCAAGAAAAACAGTGATGGACCCTCAACCCCCTCGTTCCCCCTCCCCCCCTCCCCACCTCCCTTCTCCCAAGCAGCAGCGTCGCCGGCCCCCAGTGTAGCGGACGTAACTCGAGGGCTGGTAGGCAGCATGGTGGGGGTGAGAGTCCTGGAGTTGGACGAAGCCCGAACGCGTCTGGTGGTGTCGGAGAAGCGGGCAGCAGCAGGCAAGGGGCTGCCGCGCGTGCAGCAGGGGCGCGTGTACCCGGGCGTCGTCTCCTCGCTCACTGACTTCGGCGCCTTTGTTGACCTCTTCCAACCGGAGGGAGTCAGAGAGGAGGGAGACAAGGAGGGGGGCAAGGGGGGGGAGAAGGAAGGGGACAAGGAGGGCGCGTTTCTGGCGACAGGGCTGGTGCATGTGTCTGAGCTCTCTTGGGACCCCGTTCGCTCGCCCGCTGATGTGGTAGCTGTGGGGGATACAGTCAACGCATTGGTGCTGCAGGTGGATAGGTGAGTTCAAGGGGCCAACTCACAACGCAAACGGGCTGGTGCATGTGTCTGAGCTCTCTTGGGATCCCGTTCGCTCACCCGGTGATGTGGTAGCTGTGGGGGATGCAGTCAACGCGTTGGTGCTGCAGGTTGATAGGTGAGCTGAGAGAGTTGCAGAGAGCTCACATTTTGTTTGAGGTTGATTTTGAGAATTCTCAAAATCAACCTCAAACAGGTTGATAGGTGAGCTGAGAGAGTTACAGAGAGCTCACAGCGCTAAGAGGCTGGGTTGCAGCGCGTGCAGCAGGGGCGCGTGGGAATGGTGGGGAATCAAGTGAACGCCATCTAGCTGAGGTATCGCCATCTAGCTGAGGTATCGCCATCTAGCTGAGGTATCGCCATCTAGCTGAGGTATCGCCATCTAGCTGAGGTATCGCCATCTAGCTGAGGTATCGCCATCTAGCTGAGGTATCGCCATCTAGCTGAGGTATCGCCATCTAGCTGAGGTATCGCCATCTAGCTGAGGTATCGCCATCTAGCTGAGGTATCGCCATCTAGCTGAGGTATCGCCATCTAGCTGAGGTATCGCCATCTAGCTGAGGTATCGCCATCTAGCTGAGGTATCGCCATCTAGCTGAGGTATCGCCATCTAGCTGAGGTATCGCCATCTAGCTGAGGTATCGCCATCTAGCTGAGGTATCGCCATCTAGCTGAGGTATCGCCATCTAGCTGAGGTATCGCCATCTAGCTGAGGTATCGCCATCTAGCTGAGGTATCGCCATCTAGCTGAGGTATCGCCATCTAGCTGAGGTATCGCCATCTAGCTGAGGTATCGCCATCTAGCTGAGGTATCGCCTTTCATTTCTCATCTATGCCTCTGTGCATCCTTGTCTGCCCATGCACGTGGCAGGGAGAGGGAGCGAGTGGGGCTGTCACTGAAGCAGGTGCAGGCAGACCCGCTCCTCGAGACGCTAGACCGCTTGCTGCCCTTCCAACCCGCACCAGATGCCACCTCCCCTTCTGCGTCCGCCCTTGAGGTGAGATCCCTCTGCTGCTTTCAAGCCCTTTCGCCTATCCCTTGCCCTGTGCCCTTTCGCCTATCCCTTGCCCTGTGCCCTTTCGCCTATCCCTTGCCCTGTGCCCTTTCGCCTACCCTTTGCCCTCTGCCCTTGAGGTGTCAGTTCCTTCTGCCCTTGAGGTGTCAGTTCCTTCTGCCCTTGAGGTGTCAGTTCCTTCTGCCCTTGAGGTGTCAGTTCCTTCTGCCCTTGAGGTGTCAGTTCCTTCTGCCCTTGAGGTGTCAGTTCCTTCTGCCCTTGAGGTGTCAGTTCCTTCTGCCCTTGAGGTGTCAGTTCCTTCTGCCCTTGAGGTGTCAGTTCCTTCTGCCCTTGAGGTGTCAGTTCCTTCTGCCCTTGAGGTGTCAGTTCCTTCTGCCCTTGAGGTGTCAGTTCCTTCTGCCCTTGAGGTGTCAGTTCCTTCTGCCCTTGAGGTGTCAGTTCCTTCTGCCCTTGAGGTGTCAGTTCCTTCTGCCCTTGAGGTGTCAGTTCCTTCTGCCCTTGAGGTGTCAGTTCCTTCTGCCCTTGAGGTGTCAGTTCCTTCTGCCCTTGAGGTGTCAGTTCCTTCTGCCCTTGAGGTGTCAGTTCCTTCTGCCCTTGAGGTGTCAGTTCCTTCTGCCCTTGAGGTGTCAGTTCCTTCTGCCCTTGAGGTGTCAGTTCCTTCTGCCCTTGAGGTGTCAGTTCCTTCTGCCCTTGAGGTGTCAGTTCCTTCTGCCCTTGAGGTGTCAGTTCCTTCTGCCCTTGAGGTGTCAGTTCCTTCTGCCCTTGAGGTGTCAGTTCCTTCTGCAACTTGATCTCTTCTCACTTGCTCTTTCCCCCCCATGCTTGCTTGCAAGCTCACACACACATGCACATGCACGCGCACATGGATAAGCACACACATGCACACAGACATCCGCACATGCACACTCACACACACACACCCACACTTGACCTGAAACACACGCTTATTTTGTCCTCCCTTTTTCCCCCCCACCTCCCTCTCCTCCCCTGCCACCATCCCCAGGCGTCCTCTGCTGCTCCCTCCTCTCCCCTCCCCGGTGCCACCTCACCCCCTGCCCTACCTGGCCTGCTAGCTCTCTGCAACCAGCTCAGGCAGCAACCAGGGTAGGTTGATTCAAACGCCCCCCTGTATATTCCTCTCCTTGGCACCTCCTCTCCTCTTACCCTCCTCTCCTTGCCTTCTTTGCTACCGGGTCTGCTAGCTCTCTGCGACCAGCTCAGGCAGCAACCAGGGTAGGTTGATTTGAGTTCCACCTCTCTCCCTGTATATGCCCTTCATTGGCATACCTTTAGCAACTCCTCTCCTCCTCCCCTGCCAGTCCTGCTAGCCCTTGACAACCACCTCAGGTAGCCCAGAGTTGCTGGCTCACTGAAGGGCAGCGCAGATGCATTGAATTAGAGTTGAATCTGAAGTCCAGCTCTAGTGCACTCCAGATTCACCTCTTTCAGTGAGAGTCAGCAACTGCGCAGATGTCATCGCTCCAGCTCTCCCCCTTGTCCCACCACCGATGCAAATTCGACTGTTGAATCGACTCAGGCGTTTCCACTCTCCTCGGCTCTCTCCTACTCTCTCCCGCTCGCCGCGTGCAGGATCGTGTCAGTGACGCTGGGAAGGCAGGCAGTGGAGCGACGGGTGGTGTCTCAGGACCTAGAGCTCTGGCTGTCCAATGTGAGTAGCGGGGGGAGCGAGGGTGTGACGGAGGGAGGAAGTGGACGGGAAGGTGCATGGAGGATTGGTAGAACAAACGTGAGGATGAAGGCTGGCAGTGGAGCAAAGGGTGGGATCTTAGGACCTAGAGCTCTGGCTGTCCAATGTGAGTAGTGAGGGAGGGAGAGGAGGGATGGAGGGAATGAATGGGAAGGTGAACAGAGGGTTGGTTGGGACAAACAGGAAGAGTGAAGGAAGGCAGTGGAGCAAAGGGTGGTGTCTCAGGACCTCGAGCTCTGGCTCTCCAATGTGAGTAGTGAGGAGGGACCGTTGTGTGCCAGCAGTATCAGCCGTATCAGCTGTGTCGTCTCAGCCAGCCATATCAGCTGTGTCATCTGTGTCAGCTGTGTCTGCATGCTTCACCTCCCTTTCAGATTAGTAGACTTAGTTTACAGATCGTTCTCTTAGCAGGTTTGCTGCGTTTCGAATCCAACAAACTTCAAACGCATGCTTCACCTCCCTTCTTCACCCCGTGCATCTTCTCCCCTCGCAGGCGCCAGCAGCAGAGGGGCAGTTTGCACTGCTGGCACGAGCAGGCCGACTGGTGAGCTTTCTTTCTTCTGCCTCTTTGCCCTGCTTCAATGTAGAAATTCAGTGCAAGTTATGCAAGTTTGAGTGCTATGCAGTACGTTCAGAAAGTTAAGCACAATGCTGCCTGTTTTGGTGTGCCCACGTGTAGTCTCGCTCCACTTGTTAACAGTATACTGCCTTGTCTCTTGCTGTACTCATTTGTGCCAACCAACCAACACGCAGGTGCAAGAGGTTCAAGTTGTTGCCACTTTGGATCGGGAGCAAATGAAGGAAGTGCTTAAGCAAATCTCTTAGGGCACTGCTATGTGTAATGCGTGGTGCAGTGCGTCGCCGAGTTGAGCTGGTAACTTGTGCAAACTGATGTGTAGTGAGTTATGTATACTGTCAGATTTCTATCTGTCCAGGGCAAGTTTTTCAAAAGTGTCCTTTTGCAGCAATTTTACAAGCTACACACCACCAAGTACCGTATCGATGGAAAAGAATCCAGCAGCAACAGTCGGTACCGTAATCACCCGGATATGAGCCGCGGGCTCGCGAGCTTGTGGGCTTTGATTGAACCTCAAAACCATTCTCCGCAGCTCCATACAGTATTTCAGGTCACTAATAATACCCAGATCTTGCCTTACATTTTTGTTGCACCATCCATAGCCTATCAATCATCCCTCTCCATCCTATCACTAAACAGCACTAACAATGCAGCAGCAATGCCCCTACTCGTCTACAGGTCAGCTCCCATGCAGAGTACACTATTCAGAGAAACAAGTGAGCACATGGTACCATCACTTCACAGCTGCAATCGGCCATCTGCCATTCTCCTCACCACTTTCCTTCCAACCTTCCGAAACAACAACATCCAGACGCCTGTCTTGGAGCGCCGGACATCAAATGCTAGATCGCAACAGATGCCAGAGGTCAGACAGCTTATTCTGAATTGACTGAAAGGCCAGCCAAAAGCCAGAAGCATGGTCTTGAGATGCCAGACGTGGCACTCCAGAGCAATCAAGCTGTTTTTCAATCTCACCCCACCACCACCCCTCATCTGTCACTAAACACTATCAACACCGGTGCACCAATACCGTATCAGCGCTCGTGTACGAATTAACCCCAGTGGACATCCCAGGGATATACTCCGGCACGTGGTCGTAATCCTCCTCCGCAATATCCAGCAGCTCTGTACCCCCTCCGACCGCACTCCACTCCACCCCACCCCTTATCTATCACTAAGCACCATCGACATGGGCGCAGCAATATCCGCACTCGTGTACGGATTCACCCCAAAAGACGTGACTGGAATATACTCCGGCACGTGGTCATAATCCTCCTCCTCTGCAATATCCATCTGCTCTTATCCCCTCCCCACCACACTCCACTCCACCCCTTATCCATCACTAAACACCATGGACACCGGAGCAGCAATATCCGCACTCGTGTACGGATTCACCCCGGTAGACGTCCCTGGAATATACTCGGGCACATGGTCATAATCATCCTCCTCCGCAATATCCATCTGCTCTTACCCCCTCCCCACCGCACTCCACCCCTTATCTATCACTAAACACCATCGACACGGGCGCAGCAATGTCCGCGCTCGTGTACGGATTCACCCCGGTGGACGTCCCGGGAATATACTCGGGCACATGGTCATAATCCTCCTCCTCCTCTGCAATATCCATCAGGTTATCCTCCCGGTCCTCCAAATCGTCGTCCGGGAACAGATTCATCACCGGCTCGAGAATCCCGGACGAGGGCTTTAAGAAGTACTTGATTTCCGCGAGGCGGGTGGCGACCTCGGCCATCTCGGGGCGGTCGCGGCCGAGGCGGCGCACGCACATGGCGGTGACGGCTGCCAGCATGTTGAGCGCCTGGCGCGGGTATGCGCCTGTGAGGCGCGGATCCAATATGCTCTCCACCTTTCCTGCCGCTATCTTGGGCGTCGCCTGGGGTGGTAGGGGGAAGATGGGTGGGGAGTGGAGTGGTGGGAGGGAGAAAGGAAGGAGGGGACGGGAGTGAGTCGTGGATCCAATATGCTCTCCACCCTGCCTGCTGCTATCTTGGCCGTGGTCTGGGGTGAAAGCAGGAGGGGGTTGGGGAGGGAGAGTGGGAGGAAGGATGGAGGGCGGACGGGAGGGAGATAGTCAGTGGAAACGAGAAGTGGCTACTGAAGGCACCAGTGAGGTGCGGGTCCAATATGCTCTCCACCTTGCCTGCCGCTATCTTGGGTGTCGCCTGGAGGAAGGAGTGGGGAGAGGGAGGGCGGAAGAAGGGAGGGAGTGAGGGCGGGAGGGGGTGTGCACAGCGTAACCACACAACTCACCCATCGCAACAGCGTGACAATGTAGGACTTGCTCTCCACTAACGGATCCTCTGGGATGGCATGTGGGATGCAAGTAATTACCTCAGGGTTGCGCTTGGAATCCGGGTGCAGTGTTCATGGTTCAGGGCACTCGTGCAAGTTTTGCAACTCACCCATGGTGAGAGCTGTGATTATGTATGACTTGGTGACTTTTGAGTCGACTCAAAAGTCACCTCACCCATGGTGAGAGCCGTGATTATGTATGACTCGTGCTCCAATGATGGGTCTTCCATGATGCCAAGCAATGCAATGCAATGCAGGTAGGGGTTCGTGCACAGTGTTCAGGGTTGAGGGTTACAGGAATCAGGGAATGCGACTCACCCAGCGTGAGAGTGTGACCATGTACGACTCGTTCTCCACCGATGGGTCCTCCATGATGGGCGGGTAGCGTGGAGGGGTGCAAAGTTCAAGGTTCAGAATTCGTGGTTTGAAGTTTGCAACTCACCCATCGCGAGAGTGTGACCATGTACGACTCGTTCTCCACTGAGGGGTCCTTCATGATGGCATGTGGCTTGAAGGTGTACTACAGTGCTCAGAGTTCAGAGCTCGAAAGTCAGAGTAAGCACACAACTCACCCATCGCGAGAGTGTGACCATGTACGACTCGTTCTCCACTGAGGGGTCCTCCATGATGGGCGGGCGGCCTGTGATCAGCTCCAGTAGCACCACTCCGAAACTGGTGGGTGGGGCGACAGGAGAAGAGGGGATGATCGGCAAAGGAGGAGAACACTCAGACACATAATTTCTAGTGGCATGGCATGGCACTCGGATGGCATGGGATGCCCACCAGTTGAGGTCTCAGAAGGCACCAGATCCATGTCGTGCCATACGTATGCATGTTACAGAGCCTTCATTTCTCACCTGTACACGTCGCTCTTGGTGGTGACCTTGTACGTCTGGTAGTACTCAGGGTCCACATGGCCCGGAGTGGCATGGCATGGGATGGCATGGGATGGGGTGCTGCCCACCACTCGAGCAAAGAAAAGTGACATGGCACGGTGCATGGTGCATCGGCTCTCACCTGTACACGTCGCTCTTGGTGGTGACCTTGTACGTCTGGTAGTACTCGGGGTCCACATAGCCCGGAGTGCCCACCACATGGGGTAACCACTCAATCTATGAGCGCACAAGCTAAGGTGCCTTCACTCTCACCTGTACACGTCGCTCTTGGTGGTGACCTTGTACGTCTGGTAATACTCGGGGTCCACGTAGCCCGGAGTGCCCACCACCCGAGTGTTCATCTCGTCACCCGGCTTGTTGCTGCCGCTCTTCTTGAACACTCCAAAGTCCGCCACCTTGGCCTGCACGGGCAGCAGGGGAAGAGGAGGCAGGGGGAATGGAGTAAGCGGGAAACGGAAACCAGGGCCGGTTAGGCTCGGTGCTGCTATGCTTCTGAAGCACCTTGGCCGGCATCTTGGTCTGCACTGCGCATTGGCCGGCACCTTGGCATGCAGTGAAGCAGGCAGTGGATGCAAGCAATGCACCCAACACCCAAGAGTTCCAGCAACCAAACTTCAACACCATGGCATCAGCGCTCACCATCATGTCATTATCCAGCAGGATGTTATGGCACTTGATGTCCCGGTGGATGATAGCAGGCTCTGGGGTGATGGAAAGCAGCGCCTACCCAGGTGACTTTTGAGTCGACTCAAAAGGCTCTGGGGTGATGGAAAGCAGCGCCTACCCAGGCGTTCAACCCAAACCCCCAACACGCCATCAGCTCACCTCACCATCATGTCATTATCCAGCAGGATGTTATCGCACTTGATGCCACGGTGGATGATAGCCGGCTATAGGGTGACAGACAGCAGTGCCAACCCCAGAGCCCTGACCTAACAGTTCCAACACCCCATTACTACGCACCATCACGTCATTATCCAGCAGGATGTTATCGCAATTGATGTCCCGGTGAATGATAGCCGGCTCTGGGGTGACAGAGCAGCACCAATCTTTGAGTTCTAAACCTAACCCTAAAGCACCCCCTCCTCACCATCATGTCGTTATCCAGCAGGATGTTATCACACTTGATGTCCCGGTGAATGATAGCCGGCTCTGCAGCGCTGTGCAGGTACTTAAGGCCCTCTGCCGCCCCCACCGCTATCTCCAGCCGCTGCTCGAACGTCAGCGGCCGCTTGGTCGGGTCTGCAGAGAGATGGGGGGGCAGGGTAGGGGGTAAAGTAGGGGGTGACCACCACAGCACCCCTAGCACTGCTGGGGCGGATGTGCTGCCTGAGAGTGCCCATTCACCACAAAGTCATACACGAGAATCTGCTCCTCTCCCTTCTCATTGCAGCACACGACTAACCACAAGCTGACCCTCACCTGCAGTCACTGCAGGGCCAGGTGTGAACATACCTCATCTGCAGTCACTGCAGGGCCAGGTGCGAACATCCCTCACATGGGATCCCAACACTCACTGCTGGGGCGGATGTGCTGCCTGAGAGTGCCGTTAGCCACAAACTCATATACACGAGGATGTACTCGCCCTTCTAATCGCAGCTCACGGACTTACCACAACCACACCCTCAAATGCACTCAAAACCACCAGGCTTTTGGCATGAGCGTGAATGACAAGGACTCCCCACCACCAAACCCTCACCTGTGCCCTCATCTGCACTCACTGCTGGGGCGGATGTGCTGCCTGAGAGTGCCGTTGGCCACAAACTCATAGACAAGAATCTGCTCGCCCTTCTCATCGCAGTAGCCCAGCAGGCGCACCAGATTACGGTGAGACATCTTGCTGATCACGTCCACCTGGAGAAAGAGGGCATGGGAAGCACCGGGGAAGGGTTGGAAGCAAAGGGGGGTTGTTTTCAGCCCTTCTCATCACAGCAGCCCAGCAGGCGCACCAGATTGCGGTGAGACATCTTGCTGATCACGTCCACCTGCATGCATTAAGATGGGGGGAAAGAGGGAAGAGGGGAAGGGAGGGTTGCAGTTCA